GCTGTGCAATCTCAGCCTGTCCATGAACTCAATCTACTCTTGCCCCTCCCCCATACCTTCAATACCCAAATAGTGATGTTTACTGACATTACAGGGTTGTTGTAGAATTACCGAGAATTGTTTGTGAAGCAATCTTGCTATACTGTATATATCCTAAGTTTTATTAGCTTGTCTCTTGAATATTAGTGTCTGTGATTCTAGACATTGTAGACAGCAAAACAATCACTGCATATATACCACACTGCTCAAAAAACGGTGGCAAAAATCCCAGTTAATTTGAACAGCTTACACATAACAATAAAAAGCTTACAGTGGAAAAACAACCATGGTTTTAATTGTGCACCGCCAATGTCTCAGAAGAATAAAAGCCAAATCTCTCATCAACACAGTATATTGTATATTCCCCATATTTTAACACTGCCACATTTTACAATGGACCAATAAGCCAAATGTAAATATTTACACATGTGAAATCCAGCATGGATTTTTTTTTAAAGTAAGCAAACATTCTGTGGAATAGATAACTGCAAATCAGGTTGCAAGATAATGCCTGAAAAAAACATTAATAGAAAAAGTGGTCCCCATGACTACTGGCCTCTCCTACTCGCTGCCTCCTTATTGGTTTCTCTCCAGAGCTTGCCTTACTTCTTAGTTTCTCTCTCAGAGCAGTGGCTCTTAACTGTGGTGATTTCAGTTCTCGGAAGGAAAAGCTCAGAGCATCAGTTTGCTTCAGAAGACCGTGAACCAAATGGGCTTTCCCTTTGGTTGTAGTTAAAAGGGTCAAAATACCTCTGATACCTTTCCAAGCAAAATGTATGTCGGCTGATTTTGTCAATATTTAATATGAAAAGGGAAAGAAGACTGGTCAAAGCAAGGGAGAGGAAGTGTTGTGTGGATTTTCCAAAAGGTAAGAAGTTGGGGCATTCATAAGACTTTGTTATTTTTTCTCTTTTACTTGCCTTGTGGACCCTGGCCAGGATCCAATCCTCCTGTGTGTGAGTGGCTGCTGCTGGGAAGGCGAGGTGAAAAAGTCCCTATAGACATGTTTATGTTCAGCACCATTTTGGATCCTTGTAATTGATCCCAGTCTTATACAGATGTGCAGTTTGAAGTACCTTCCCTCCCCGCTCCAATGTCTAGAATTTAAGATTTCATATTATTTCATTTGAAATCTTACATTGGTCGTTTTGGGAAGGTGATATCTGATCCTAAACAATTATGAATTCAACTTTAGAAAGCAATTGTGCATGAGAATGAAAATGAATTGATTGCCCGAATTTTATGTTCATGTGATGTAATAACTATATTTTAACAGCTGCTTGAATTAAAGCTGGGTGGCAAATAACTTTTTCTCTTATATCAAAATAAAAAACATTGTCCATGTGAATCTTTATGGAAAGGAATAATTCATTAATGCTATATTTATGAGGAATACTCTGTGTATTCCACATACAGAATACTTCACAGTAGACACCGCAGTATGTAATCATCCTTGGTATGAACATAGAATATTGGTTTCTATCATCAGTTTTCATAAAACTAAAATGGAAATAATAATACTGATTGCATAATGCATTGTGTGAAGAGAGACAATGTTCCTCACCTTTGATTAGAGATTGCAAAAGGGCTTCTCTCCTCCCTACATTGTTTGGATCAGGTATCTTCAACCTTTTCAGTCCCAGGAGCCACTCCTAACCCAAACATGCATCTGGGAACCTGTTTCTTAATCCTTTATTATATAGTAAAGTAGTGATTCTGTTGCAACCATTCTTGGATCAGGCTGCAACCCACTTGTAGGTCCTGACCCACCAGTTGAAGACCCTTTGCACATCCCTGATACAGTTTTGCACCTTAGTTTTCAGCACACAGGTCGTTAGAAAATTCTGCTGCTTTTAGTTTTTCACTCTCAGTGCCTTCTTCTACTGAGTTCTGTGGTTCCGGGACTGCATACTTGGGAAACTGCTTATTCCCGAGGAATCTTGGTAAAGTTCCATTCTAGCATTACTTTGAAGTAAATAAATAGTTTCAGTATTGTTGCTCCTGGCCACACTCCTACAATGTGGGTTGGGAACATATAAGGTGCTATACTCCACCTCTCTCCATCACACACACACACACTGTCTCTCGCTAACACATACATTTTTATTTTTCAGAGTTCCTATTATATATCAAAAAGTAATAAAATGATATATATGCAAGGTAAAAAGAAAAAAGAAAGGCAGCAGCTAGAAATAGAGCATGTAAAAATAATTTTTGAAAATTAAAGTAACAACAACTGATATGATGGAAGCAGCATTGTAAAGAAATTTTAATTACATGACTTCTGGCATAATGAATAAAAGTAATAAAGGAAAACCAGATATCACAATTTTATTATTGAGAAAGTATTTCTATTTCCATTTTGTTACGTTTGCTGGGCTTTGTAGATACCTCTCCCCAACAAAAGTCACTGTCTGTTTAATATGTGAATTTTCTTGCATGTCATAAATTTGAATGTGCTTGGTAACACTGAAACTCAGGTACAAAATACCAGCTTAAAACACAGACTGGCCTCCCCCCCCCCCTTCTTAATTCAGATTTAAGCTGGTTTGAATGAAAATGCATCAAAAAGCAATATTTCATAAGAAACAACATGATATATAGCGATTGTAGCTAATATGTGTATGCCATTTCCCACGCTAGTAGCGGATTCCAAGCTAGCACACTGGATGCAGAGTAAACAGGACTGTGTACACAGCCTCAGCTAAAAACAAAGCACCCACCTGCAGAAAGTCTTTGGTTTAACACCTGGCAGGTGATAACTTGGTTTACAGTACAGCAGCTGCACCTCTGCATTCACGCAGTGGAGGAGATCCTGGTTTCATCCCTTCCCTTTTACCCCCTAACTGTCCACGGTTTATGTGTTAACAGTGTTATCCAACTTTTAAGAGTTCTTTTATGTTATATATTCCAACCCTAAAGTCAAAGATTATTGCACTCCAGCTCTGCCTAATTGCGCTCACCCACACTTTTAAGAGAAAAGTGCTATGAAGAAAAATCCTAGAAGCAGTACAGCCATTAAAAAGTACGGAGGCAATTCAAAGGCCCACATCTGACTAAATGGAATTTACTCCATGAAAGCTTATGTGACCATAAAAAAAACATTACAGATAAGAATGACTGTCTGTGTAATTTGTGTTTCCTCTTAAATTTATACAGCTTGCAGCTTCCTCATCTTGGCTTTACCTTGTAACAGCAGGATACTCATTGACAGAGGCAAAGACTCATTGATCCTGGCTTACATTTCAGTGTCACTTCATTAATGGACCACGGTGAGTTATATTCTGGCAATTCAGAGGGAATGCAGGTGTATCAAGGCTCTGGAGACTCTGAAAAGTTTTGCTGTAACTGTGAAAGATGGGCAAATGAGAATTTATTGGGCTGCATTCCTCCTTAGGTTTGGTAGCACAACCTCACATTGTCAAGAAACGTGCTGAAGCCTAAATCCAAAACTATGAGCCAACACACTGAGCTGAGTTTTTGCCTGAATATACATGCCCCACTGGAGGGAGAAGAGAAATCTCTAGACCACACTTTTCCGAGATATTTTCCTGGGCTAGCCAGGTATTATCTGCCTACATATTGCACTTGCAGGCCTCCAACATCCTCTGTACTTAGATGCTGACCCCTTTGTCCATCCATTCTCACTTCTGAAACTTAACTTTAAAAGTGATAATTTGATAGGTGTCTTTATGTGCCCATACTAACTACCTGGAGAAACACTCCCTCCCCGGCACCTCTCATCCCTGATCTGGTAAGGCCAGCTGTAATTGATAAAGTATTGTTGTATCAATATGGCTTGATAGTGAATTATGGTTTTAATGCTTTTATTGAATCTTATGGTTTAAATGTGCATGTCGTAAACCACCCTGAGATCTTAATTGACAAAGGGCAGTTAGTAGGTAAATAATGCCAATGAACTCACTAGCCACATTAAGCATCACAACATTCATCTACAGGACCTTTTTAGGATTTAGCACTTGGAGGTGCAAGACAGCATATGAATATGAAACCCCTTTGCAAAATGTCAGGGTGACATGCACTGTAAGAAACTGGATTTTTATTTTTATTTTGGATTTAAAGAACAAGAGTTAGAATTTTGCACTCTAAATGATCTGAATAGAAAAACAATTATATGGGTTAAACAAATAAGCATCAAAGATCTTCATTTGTGTACTTTATTCTGATTGGTGTGTGTGTGTGCGTGTGTAGAATACGGATATTGCTGTTAGGCACTGAGACAACAGGGAGGCAGCAGTATGGCACTGAGTTGCAATCCTAAACATACATACTAGAAAGTAGGTCACATTGATTCTTAACGCACTTACTTCTAGTAAACATGCTTAGAATTGGACTGTTGAGATCTGATTCAGCCGTTCCAGCACATATGCAGGGATGATTACCTCTTCAGTGTCAGGAACACTCCCATACACACACACACAAACACACACACACACACCTGTTGCCTGCGCAAAGCTGTCAACAACAGTAAAGTAAATCCGGTGTGTCAGCTCACATGGAGCTCAGTGTATGAACTGGAACTAAACACCACTTTATCTAGGGCAACTGATAGGATGTACCGTAGGTTCAGTCTTTAAGTCTATGGGTTTAAAGACAGCAGTGTCATTTTTAAAAATCCAAGTTTGCAGTTTGGGAGAAGAACAAGAAATTATGCCCCCAAAAGGTTAATCTCAACAGTGTGTAATTGAGTGCATGCCCACTCCCAACACATGTATGTTCAAAATTCATCCAGGATCATATATCACCAGGAAATGGTTCTCAAAGGGTTTGTTTTTCTTGAAGTATTCCTGCTGCTGAGACGCTCCAAAAAAGCAATTAAATGAAGCAAAGGACATTGGAAAAGAGTGTGTGTGTGGTGGTGGGGACTTTCCATCTAAATTATGTTTGTGATTTCAGGGGTGTTTCATGAAGGATAAAACAAAAACATTCAAGAGCCTGGCATGGATCCGTCTGTTGCAAACAGCAGTAAGTTGCAGCTTTCACACTTTGAATCCTGCTTGCCGTCTATTCCTGCCGTCTTCTTGCTCATCACAGCTTACGCTGTAGTCATGCTGGTGGGGCTCCTTGGCAACCTTTGCCTAATTATTATCATCAGGAAACAGAAAGAAAGCCAGAATGTCACCAACATTTTGATCGCCAACCTCTCCCTATCTGACATCTTGGTTTGTGTCATGTGCATCCCTTTCACTGTTGCGTACACTTTGATGGATTACTGGGTGTTTGGAGAAGCCATGTGTAAAATATCTAATTTTGTACAAAGTATGTCTATCACTGCCTCTACATTCTCACTTGTGTTAATTGCTGTCGAGAGGTATCAGTTAATAGTAAACCCGCGAGGTTGGAAGCCTAGAATTTCACATGCATTTTGGGGAATTATCTTCATTTGGGCCTTTTCTATAATACTGTCGACTCCTTTTTTTTTATTCCACCAAGTCACCGATGACCCCTTTAGAAACCTTTCTTCCCACAGTGATATTTATATGAACAAAGTTGTCTGTGTTGAGGTATGGCCATCCCTTGAGGAGAGGCGTAGCTTTACCACAACAATGTTAGTTTTCCAGTACTTCTTACCACTAGGGTTTATTTTCGTCTGTTACATAAAGATATTTGTGTGCCTTCAGAAGAGGAAAGGTAAAGTGGATAAGATAAGGGAGAATGAGGTCAGACTAAATGAGAGTAAAAGGATTAATATTATGTTGATTTCAATTGTTGCAACCTTTGGGGCATGTTGGTTACCACTGTACATATTTAACGTTGTGTTTGACTGGAACCACGAGGTCCTGATCAACTGCCACCATAATGTGGTCTTTACTTTGTGTCACTTGGTAGCCATGATTTCGACGTGTGTCAATCCAATCTTCTATGGATTCCTCAACAAGAATTTTCAGAAAGATTTGGCTAGTCTGCTTCACAATTTCAAATGCTATGAATCTCAAGGGTTGTTTGAGAACATCGCCCTTTCAACTCTGAACACCGATGTGTCAAAGGGATCCTTTAAGCTGAACAACATGCCTTCGAATATCTGAAATGGGCAACCTTTGAATCATTTACATGTCTTTGTCATGAATTACTGTACTGCCAAGTTACTCTTATATGGAAGTGTGGCCTTCTGGCTCTTGTCAGCAAAGTCATGTTCTCAAAGTGAAATCAAAAGCCTACCTGAATATTAATGTATCATTCAAATGAATAAAACAAATTGGATTAATAATATTTATTAACACCCCCATATTTATTAAAGACCTTTACAGGAGCTTCCAATGTTGCAGTGCTAGAAAACTGGAAGTGTGGGAAGGAAAATCTGGAAAAGGAGGTACCGTTTGGATTGGAAGATGATGCAATATCCTGTGTGGGCTGTACCACCTGCGTTTTCCTCATGGTTCTCCTGGTCTGCCTGAATCAGTACTTCTGACAAAGGCCCCTTGACTGCCTTAACATAATACCAATAATTAGTATCTTAAGCAACTGACTCTTATTGTCTGAACTCAACAGATAATCTCATTCTAAGAATTCCTTATGTGAAGCCATTTCCCTTTCTTTTCCCTTACTGTGCCCCCCCCCCCACTCTGTTCTCAAATCTGCTCTGGAAGGTGGAGGGAACCTAGAACAGATTTAGGGAGTGCGTGGGAGAGGTGGGAACGGGAATCCCATTGCATAGCAGAAACCATACTGCTCACTATGCACATTCAACTACTATGTTGAGTACAACCCATCATCTGTCCACTGATGCACTAGGTAATATGTCATTCTGACAGGTGCTGGATTGTATCAAACTCAATAACTGTGCATGCAGGACAACTTCTGTGAGTGCAATGGAACTTGCTCTCCACCCCCAACACACTCCCTTTCCCAAATCTGCTATGGATTTCCCCCCAACGCTCTGAGTCCCATCAGTGGAAGCCCAGCACAAGGATCTATAGCTGGGATAGCTTTGTCATTTTGAGCACCATCTTGGGCAAAGGATTCCTACATTGCCAGGGGGTTGGACTAGATGCCCCTTGTGGTCCCATCCAACTCTACAATTCTATTATTCTATGTTTGTCCCCACTCTCCCTCATCACATGATGGATTAAAACTCCTGAATAATGCTTGCATATGGTAGAAATTCCCTGCCCACCTAGCAGTTTGAAAGCACATCAAAGTGCAAGCAGATAAATGGGTATCGCTCCGGCGGGAAGGTAAACGGCATTTCTGTGCGCTGCTCTGGTTCGCCAGAAGCAGCTTAGTCATGTTGGCCACATGACCCGGAAAAACTGTCTGCGGACAAATGTCAGCTCCCTCGGCCAGTAAAGCGAGATGAGCGCCACAACCCCAGAGTTGTTCGCAACTGGACTTAGCTGTCAGGGGTTTACCTTTATGGTAGAAATGTTTGAATACATATCCTCAATCCTGGAATGCAATGAATATGTGTTCTGACCACCTCCACCACACTTTGCAATGTATGTCTGCCTCTAGTCTGACCACTATTGTTGAAAACAATGTAAGGAATGATCAGGGTTCTTTTCTTTTCAATTAAGGTAATTCTGTTCTTTCATTCATAGACATGGTTGCTGTATTTTTACTATGCTGCTTCCTATGTCCTGAACAGCAGCCTGACATGCAAAATTAAAGAAGATAAAGAGATGGGGGGATTTTACATCCTAAATGTCTGCACGTCAAGCTAGTATTCAGGATACAGGGAAAGGATGATTTGAAATCCTATTGACAGAACTGTTGCCCTATTGATATAACTCAATAGCATATCACTGATTTCTCTGGCATTTGCTTTTGAGTAAGTATACCTAGGATTGCAGACTGGGAGAATTTATGTTATGTTTCATCCTATAATAAAATACAGGAACTTGTAAGAGAAGTTCATTTTCCTGCAACACTTCATCGTTTTTAATGTAAAAAGCCTACCTGTGCTGCCCTCGGGCAGGGTGTAAAACTGCACCAATATTTTTCATCTGCAGCTGAATTGCTGTATCTTTGAATGCCAACATTTTTTTCTAAAAAGGAATACATGCTTTTCCACCTTTGTTTGAAAACATGAATGTGACAGAAACGTTTCCAAAACAGCCATTAGTTTAAGACAGATAGATTGGAGCCAACCACAAGAAGCTATCCTGTTTACAAGGCAAAGACAGGTCTGAACTGCTTAAAAGATCATGAATCCAATGGAACTCTGAAGAGAAAAATCCAGTTAAAGTGAAACCATATAGAACATTTCAGACTAATACAGAGTGAAAAAAGAATCTAATAACATGAAACGCTTGATACCTGAGTGCAAACTATATTTCTATGAGAAGCAGCTGCCTCATCTAACCTCTATGTGACTTCAGACTGGTTTTATTGACAAATAATGGTACAGTAATCGTATCTGTGGTGATGTACACTTGACTGGAACTATTTAGATGTCATTTCTATTTATGATTCTAACAACATGTTTCAACTGTGGGGAACTGTTGGTATTTACATCTATTTTTTTGTATACCAAATGTTGTACAACTTTATATTAGTCTTGTGGTTTCGAGTGCTAAATTTTGTAAGCCACTGTGAGCCATATAAATATTCACTCTGAAATATATCAATTATATCAAAATAACATAAAGATTGCCTTGCTAAGGATATTCAAAGATTCATAAACTCCAGGACTACGACCAGGCTCCAAAGAAGTAACTGCGCTACTCTTTAGGGCTCCAGATAAGCTTCACACTGCAGTCCTAAGCATGTTTACTCAAATCAGCTGATGGAATGAAAGCCGTATATCTCACCTGGGAGGTTAAAATGAAATGAGGAAAAGGCACAGAAGGAAGCAAGACTGGCTGGCATTCAGCCTTAAATATATTTACTTGCAAATCAGTTGACAAGTTAGTGCGCTTAAGGTCAGAGCCCAAAGACCAAAGAGTGTATAGTTATAATTATAGCTGTCCATTACTTAATATTTACTAAATGAATGATAGAGCAGGGTTGGGGAAACTGTGGCCCTCCATAGACTATACTTTTTGCATCAGCCCCACTCAACATGGCCAGTGGTCAAGGATGATGAGGGTTGTCGTCCGACACTTTGAAGATGGCAACAGGTTCCCTATCCCTGTGCTAGAAATTTGGAAACAGAGCTGACTGTCTCTTTAAGACCTACTCACACTCCCATTTATCCTGTGATTTCGAGTCACAGGTCTGAGAGGATTTGTTTTTTTGGTCCCACTGCTTTCCCTGGGAAAATCTGCTGTTTACTGCTGAACTGGGAAAATGTTAATCCGCAGAAAACATAGAGATGGAATTTTAACCCCTTTCAGACCTGTGACTAGAAATCATAGGACAAAGTGTGGACGGGCCCCTGGTTTCAGGGCCCTTTTAATTTGGCAGGTGGTAAAGCCTGGAAGTGAAAAGATGGAGTATATCCATTGTAGCACCTTTGGATATATTAGAAAGATTTTTAATATTTATCTCCTGCAAGTTTTGCTTGCTTTTGTTCAGTACAACTTTAATGGATAGGACTGCTTATGACTATCAGTGGTCGTTAGTTATGTAATGAGCACATATGATATAGCAGCATTACTAGTGTGTATTTTCAGTGTGTAGCTTGCTGCTGTGTTATTGACAGAAGGTAAAAGCAGAGTGGAAAAAATGTCTGCCTATTGCGCAAATGCATTATACGCTCCTGCTCTGGGAAGCTCATTGTTAAACATTTCAGATGACATTAAGTCCAAATAAATTTCCAAGTTTCAAATCCTGCCTCTCCAGCTGACTGAGTTTTACTCCTGACTTGCAGAAACTCAGAAGTTTCGCTTGTGGGCACAGAGGATCCTGTTCCATTGCTATCACAAATTCTAAATGAGACTTGCACTGTTTTCAGGTGGGATTCGATCACACACTGGCAAATTCAGATCGCACAATTGAAGCTGATATGGTGCTGTTGCATAACAAATCCACTTCTCTGCAAAACAGGACTGTCTTCATCTTAAGAAACGTATGGGGAAATGCACTGGAAAATGTGGGGTAACATTTGCCTGTTGCAATGTCATTTAAACTCCCTATGAACAAATCCAGACGGGTGCTCAATAACCAGGTCCTCTGGAAGCAATGGGAGTTAAACCGAGAGTGCCTTCTTAACAACCAAGCTTGTGCCACTCCCACATTGTCTTTCTCAATGCCTTCTGCTATTATTCATCCGTTTATTTATTTCATAAAATTTATACACTGCTTGATTTTAAAAAACCTCAAGGAGGTTTACAAGAAGATAAAACAATAAAATCAAGAAGAATTTACAACCCTACTTTGAAACATACAGAAGTTAAAACACCAAAACAGATTACAATTATCTCAACTTTCTAAGCCCATGGGTAAAAGTAAAGGGACCCCTGATCTTAGGTCCAGTCGCGAACGACTCTGGGGTTGCGGCGCTCATCTCGCTTTATTGGCCAAGGAAGCCGGCGTACAGCTTCTGGGTCATGTGGCCAGCATGACTAAGCCACTTCTGGCAAACCAGAGCAAGTGCACGGAAACACCGTTTACCTTCCTGCCGGAGCAGTACCTATTTATGTACTTGCACTTTGACGTGCTTTCGAACGCCTAGGTGGGCAGGAGCTGGGACCGAACAACAGGAGCTCACCCCATCGCGGGGATCCGAACCACCCACCTTCCGATCGGCAAGCACTGGGCTCTGTGGTTTAGACCACAGCGCCATCCGCGTCCCTAAGCCTCTGGGTAGCTTTGTCTAAACAATAATGTTTTTAGCAGGCTCTAAAAAGAGTGCAGTGAAGGCACCGAGGCATTAACACCCTGAAATGCAGTGAGGTTGCCCCTCACCCTACTGCCTTTCAAGTTGTATTTTCACATGGCTGTGTACACCAGAGAGGGGGCAGAAATGTCTTCAAACATTAAGGCTACAATCCTAAACACTAACTAGAGAGTAAGAGCCATTGAACTCAGTTAAACTGGCTTCATTCTGAGCATACAAACATATGTTCATTCTGTTAGGCAGCAATCCCATCAGCAGTTCCCTGTATGCAAGTCCAGCTGAACTTGGGAGGACACTTGCTTCCAA